CTTCTAGTCCTTCATCTAGTGAGTCGATCAGTACCTTTAAATACCAAGTAACCAGATACTTCTTGAGAAATACTGCTTTTTCTTGCTATTGGATGACTATTATAATCAAATGAGGTGTTGTTAATTTTAACAAAACACCCAATAAAATGTATGTGTCTTTGTGGGTCTGTTTGTGTGTTTATTAGGCAAGTGTTCTACAACTAAGTTAACCTCTCTCCTTCCCTCATGGTATCCAGTAGAAATAAATAAACTCTTGTAAGAATTAGACACATGCAAAGAAATGAATTGCTGGCCAGGGCCATCCACACTCCCCATGCTCTCAAATGTGTATGACTGAATTTTGGGTTCATGGAACTAGGCACTTTCAAAATGAACCAAAGCAAGACTGGGATTTTCAATCCCCTTGACTATAGTTAACATAGGGCCTCCGCTTCTGACTTTATAACCCTGTTTACTGAACTGAACCAAAGATCATATAAACCACACATGAAAGAAATGCCTGATCATGCAGAATTAGACAAACAAGTGAGCTCGTCTGGGGACAGGGTTTCCAGGGAGAAGGTGCAGCTGGATGTGAGCCTAGTGGCTTGAGACATAGCCTGTAGTCTTCCTCTTCAGTGACTGGCAAGTGTACTTCCTCTGCTTATTGCTAACCTAGATCTCAAGGCTTCTAATAAAACAGTGGTCTTCCGAGAAAAGGCCTGAGGACGGCCAGACATCTCAACAGAGCCAGGAGTTTCCCTTCCTCCTTTTCATCTTCTGTCTTCCTCTGCCTTCCCACATTGCTTGAAACTTGAAAATGGTAAGAACAAGGAAGATAAATTCAGAATCTGAAGTTGGAGTAGTACATATTTTCCGTTAACTATTTCACTGAGAGATCACAGTCTGATAAGATTTAAAGTCGTACATTCCTGGAAAATGTAACTTTTCGAAGTAGGATATGGCCTTGAATTGTTCAAAGTGATATAGACAAATTTGTCAGTAGATTATCCAAGTGTAGCAGATCCCAGCCCCTAAGGAATGAACAGTGTTTCTCACTGAGGTGAAGTATTTTCTATTCAATTAGATAAATGCCTGTCCAGAACATTTTCTTTTGCATTTCAAACAACTATCTTTATTCTTCACAGAAAACTGCAATGAGTGAGGAAGAACAGACCATCCAAGACTACATGGTAAACTTTCCATACAATCATTTTAACACACTCTCATTCCTGGACACTGCTGAAATTCTAGTGACTAAAAGAAACTTTTAGAGAAAGATGGGTTTTTTGTTGGTGGTGAATTTTGAGGGGAGTTTTGTTTGTTTTTGAGAAGGAGACAAAAGAGTCTTGGAATTTACTAGGTACCCCAAGCTAGAGTCGAACTCAAGTCAATCCTCCTGCTCCAGACCTCCCTCATCCCTGCAACTCCACTCCCCACACTCAGGATAATGACCATAAAAGTCTTCCTCATGTCCTGTGAAGGCTGCTACAGAGCTGGCTCTCAGGATATTGATTCTTTTCCAAACAGTACCCAGCCAACAAGCAGTTCATGGTAATTCTCAACATCACATTGATGTCTATAAAAACTGAAGGGCTAGAAAGATGGTTCCGCAGGTAAAGGCTCTCACCACATAGTCTTTCACTCCCTAGAAATGGGATAGAAATGAAAACCATTTCTCACAAGCTGTCTTCTGATTTCTGCATGCACACACACAGAGATACACACACAAACAAATAAATCAATAAGTAAATAAGTGCGTCTTGTTAACTGGAACTCATCCTAGAGGGAGAGGCCACTGAGCTTAATGGGAGCTTTAATCCCTATAAAATAATCAATCCATGGCCAGGTCCAGAGACGATTCCAAACAGAGCATGTGAAGACTGTCTACCAGTCATGATTTGTGTGGATGCCCCATGCAGCATGTTTCCTGAGTGTTAACTCATCTACGTCTGCCAGACAGCTAACATACAGAGACAAAGTAGCTTAGTTAAGGGTTTTCCTACACACTTGGGAAAGACACGGGGCTAAGACACTTATCTTAGTAATTAACAAATTGCTGTCCTGCTCTTGTACCTGTTTCCTTTTCACTTCCTTTTGGTTCTTTCCCTTTCATTTCTTAGCATTTGGATCTGAATTGACCACAGGCTGTCTACACTCTACGGTTCCTCTGAGAATGCACTCTCGGAGATACTTTTGTTTAAGTAAACAGCCCCTCTCCTGCCATTAAGAATTTATCCACATGAGATCTTTATTCCTTCGATAAGTCCAGGTCTTTTCTGAAGCATGAGAGACTGGTCTAATAATCACATGTGTTCTTCTTAGAACAAAGTGAAACCATGCAGCATGATCACCTGGCCTCAGTTTGTGCAGCTGCTTCATCAATATCAGAAAGCTATGAACCTACGGAGCTATCACCCATACACCCCCAGCCTGGTGAGTGTGCCATGCTTATTTTCAATATGAAGCTTAGTTAAATTTTTAGCAAAAGTAAGATAAAGAAGTGAAAGAGGAAATTTCATAATTTTTCAAGTAAAGAACCTGAAAGGAACTGTAATGAAGTTTCACTAACGCAAAAAATAAACTATACATTATATAAATAAGCCAATTTTCTGAAATTAAAATTATACTTTTTTTGGTCTTTAATAAATGTTAACCAACACCATTTTAACTGTTGAATCAACAGGTTTGTGCATTTTAAAGCACCTGAAATCCTAACAGTAGCTTAAATAAGCTTCGGTTGATATTTATCTTCTACTTGATTAAAAACAAACAGGGTACTGAAACCAGAAAACAGGCAATTTAAAATCAACAATATGTGATTTCTGTCTAAATATTGGATACAAATAGCTGACCATATTAGATATGAACAGTGACATCATTTTATTGCAGTCTTTGATATACATGTAGCATTTAAAGATAGTTTACTTAGATAAAAGTTTTATATGTGATGCTTGTATAGAAGATGGCAAAAACTAGAATATTGCAAATATTTCCATGGAGATTAAAATAAATTTGGTTCATTCATTTTCACAAATAAGGCAATATAATGAGTTTTGCCTTTATATTCTAAATTATTTTTAAGATTCTTGAATTAAGTGTATCTATCTTATTTTTGAAGTGTGCCGATAATTTAAGTGATAATCTAAATAAGATTGTTCTGTAATGAATATGTGCTTAATATTTTTACATAATGTATGTTCAACTTCAATAAAAAATTAGATTGAATATTGCTGGTAAAATTTTATTTACCTAGTACTATGAAATAATTAAAACATTGCTTCAAAATTTAATCAAAAGGCAAACCGCATCATTTAATAAGTACAAGTTATAAACAAGCTTCTCTGTACTTTCCATTAAGCATAAATGCAAATAATTCTTAAATATTGATGTATTCGACATAATTTGGGATGTAGGCAAATACTAATATTAGTTATAAATATTAAAATCGTGCTAAACTAGAATTGTGACATATATCTGTATCTTATATACAAATAAACATTATCTTTTGGATAATAAACATAAATCCATTATTGTCTTTTTAAACAGGTTTGAGCGGAAAATCCATATCCCCACTTTCTTTTCTACTATAATTGCTTCTCATTACCAGTATATTGGGAGATGTATAAAGGAAACAGAAATGCTGAGCCGAAGGAAGACGGCAAAGCAGTTCCTGAATGGCTTCTATTCTTGTTTGCTTATGTTGGGTCTATATGTGAGTTTCATCTCAGCAGAGTTGGAGACGATTAACTATGCTTTCACCACTGTCCCTACATCACTGAACTCCATTGCCTTTCAAAAATAAAACTTTAAGTGCATTCTTTTGTGTGTGATTGTTATTTGTGTTACTTATATTGGTCCAGAAGATTAGTGCCAGGAATATAAAGTTCTTCAACAATTAGATCATAACTCCAAAGACCACAGGATCATGGTTCTATTAAACCATTATTTTACTCTGTCTCTGCCTATTTCTGCTTACAATTTGCCACAGCATTAGTCCCAAAGCCTCACCAAATCCCTACATGTTCCCTCCAATGCCACAGACACAGCAAAGAAATCAGACACTGAGAACCTAACCCTGCTGATGAAATAATTTACATGAGAAAGGGACAAACAATTATGTTGATTAAGAGTTTATAAAGCCTTTATCTTTGGCTAGTGATGAAGAGCAGGCTAAGGCATCAGCTCAGGTATTAGCTTTTAGTTTTAACTCAGGGACATAGCATTTTTAAAAGACAAAACACAATTGTATAAATGATAAAATTGAAGGTCAGAGTACAGAAACCTTGCAACATTTATTTTTGGCAGAACTAAGTAGTAACTTCAGACATAATATGATGATTATATTTTACTTGTACCTTCTTATACTTAATTATTCCTGTTAACACATCTGAACCATGGTAAGGGTTTGAAATTTTCAATTGTGTTGCCAAGGCCAACATGATTGTTGGGGGTATAGAGGGCTGAGAGCTGTCTACACAGTTATCATGAAATAGTCAGGACAAGCTGGCGATACCTTGGTCACTCCAGCTAGAACATAATCCCTCTATGTGTGTTCTCAAATAACAGAATAACAAAAGAATTCAGCCAGTGCCTGTGTGAGCTGCAGTGAGCAACTGCGTGCATCAGTATTTCCAGAGACGGTGGAGGAATGGGAAAAGGATTAAGAAGTAGACAAAATGGAACAAGGATGGTGTTTATTTCAGTTTGGAAATCTGTTTTTCATATTTAGTTATAGGGGAAGCATTAGATGGGATTTGTAGGTAACACAGGATGTCTTTGATTCAAAGACCAGGGATGAAGTCTGTATCTTTGACACCATAAACTGCCCATCCTTTACTTCTTTAGCAGTCCAGTCTATCATTCCCTCTTAGCCCAAGCTCCTTTCCTATACAGTCTAAAGGTTCAACAGTTTTTCTGAAAAGGGTGACTTGACTTGTATTTTGAAAAGACAGAGCAGTTAGAAGCTATGAGAACTCTTCTTTGTCCTCCTAGAACTTCCATTCCTTAGCAATCTGATGATGCTGCATTCTGCCCGCTACATTCTCTGGTGGCCTCACTTCTCCCAGACTTCATCCTTGATAATTGAAAATATCCTCATAGTCGATATAAATCTTCTGCCTTTCTACACTGGAGCAATTCTTCCTGGACAATATCTGGCAATGTAAGACTAAAGCGAATGCTTACTTCCGTTCACTCTGAGCAGCTGAGTCTCAAAGTAAGTTCCTTTTCTAAATTTTGATGGTTGCTAAGAACATCTCGTTGTATCCTTTTCTTGCCAGAATTTAAGGTAGCAGTCTTCCTAGAATTACCTTAAGCTTCAAAAATACTTCAGTTTCTATTTGGCAATATTGAATCCATGGAATATAAATACAACCCACTTCTTGATACATTGATAACTTTATTTTAACCTTGGTGTAATATGCTGATAACTTGATTTAAATCTGAAAATAATTTTAACTCTCCCCTCAAGTTCCTAAGGGCATATGATCTTCCTTACTTCAAAGCTAGTAACTCTCTTCAGTTTTTAATTCCCAAGTTTTCTATACATGTGAGGGAATGTTTTATCAAAAGTAATAACTTTATTACCCAAAATTAGTCAGGCATTATTCGTTTTTAAGGTGTCTTATAGATTCTCTGAACTAACCTTAAGATTATTAAAATTTATTTCTATTTTATTAGTAATATAGCTACTGATATTGTAGCTCAATGGTGATAAATTCGTATCAGAAATGAAATGCTTCTTGCGGGAGTACTATGCCACATGGTTCTTGTCATGATATACTGTCTGATAATTCTTCACCAAGGTATATTCTGCGGATTCCTATCCTCTACACAATACTAGTGTTTTTAGGGCTTTCAACTCAGCTACATATTTTCTAACTTTACAAGTTTTCCATACAATCTGCTTCACTCAATCATTTAAATTTACACTGATGATTTGCTGATTAAAAATGTAGTTTCCAGTTCTCTAAATTCATTTCAAATGTGCTGCCAACTCTCCAGCTATACACATAATTATCTTCTGAATATCTTCCTACAATTTCTGCTTTAAAGAAAATTATATAACTGTAATATAAAATTAAGAAATAAGCATCATTTCTTTCCATTACTTAAGACATTATCTAGTATTGAACTTATTTCATATATTTTGGAACCAATATTTTACTGTAACAGGAACTGTAACAAAGCAACCAATCATGTCTCCCTTTGTCATTTTAAGTAACCTTAAGGGTTTTCAGAGTCCAGATTCACGATGACCTCTGTGACATAGTTGGACTGATAATATTTTTCCCCACTTGTTCTTTCTACATTTGGTGACACCACCGGAGATTTAGAAAACATTAAAGCATAAAACATATTACAAACACACAGCCTTGTGTTTTACATTCACAAAATCTGATACCTTTTCAGATCATTTACCTTTTAAATGAAACCATTTGAAATTATTATTATACAATAATAAATATATTATTGTATTTATCATTAAATCTCCAGGACCTATAGTAATGCCGGATAATCATTGAATGACTAAAGAGAAAAAAAGGCAGAAGGGGAGATGAGAATAGAGATGAGAAGGAAAGTTGGGAGATGGAAATAGAAAGAATATGACAAAAAACGAGAGGAAAGGAACCAAAAATATGAGTTTGAAAAGTTAGTGAGTGGTTGCTAAATATTATGGGGGAGTAAAATAGCTGAGTGCACAGAACCCACTCAAAGTAAGTTTTAGGGTGATGGAATTTATGTATAGTAGTGGGCTTGTGAGTAAGTAATAGTCAGAATACAATGTTTGACCATTAACAGTGATTACTGTTAATTGTAAATAGAAAAAAAAGTCAATAAATTAGGATGACATGGAAATTTCAGATAAAGTGAATCTAACAGAATAAAAACGCAGAGCCTGGCCTTGCTGAAAAAGGAAGCTCAATTACTAATATAAAGTTACCTTTAGAATTAAGCCTCCCAAAAAATTATTTACCATCAATCAGCATTTTTGAACTGAAAATTATTTAAAACATGATGTTGGTGGGGTAGACCTCTAAAACACAGTATGTGCTTGCCATTCCATTTGGTTACCCCAAAACTAGATGATAAGACCTATTGTTGTTGACACCACACACCTCAGAAATGCAAGACAGAGGAAGTGGGCTGGAACTGAGTGGGAAAATTGTTCCCTACAGGGCAGTTTTCATGGTCCTAGAAAATTCTATTCAGGCTGCTGGGGAGAAAGGCTATCGATGGTCTGTATATCCTGTGTGTCCACTTGTGCTATGGTGGCACTACTGGTATGGAGACACCCACTCCTCCTGGAAGGGAGGGCATGAGATTAGGGCATGAGATCAGGGCTGTATTCTGTTGTTTATTTAAACTGCATGGTGTCCAACTGCCTGCCAAATATATTTGCTTAAAGTCATAAACAATTGCCACTGTAGGCCTTAATTAAAGAAATCCCTCTACCCGTAAACAAAGATGTACACAAAGAGTTGTGGCTGAACAAGATACAGAGAATGGGTGACATAAGACTGACTATTCAGCTGTAAACATCTACCTTCTGCAAAGCTTCTGCAGGTAAACATCTACCTTCTGCAGAGCCAGTAAATAAGGAGAATGACCACAAAATAATATCTGGGCTAGGGAGAGACTTCCCTTTACAGCCCAGAGGGGAGTTTCAAAAAGAGTCAGAGTAAGGGAGAAAGGGAGGACTGGAGAAAGACAAAAAAAAAAAAAAGTCTCCATAGAGGGACTGAGCAAGGAAGCCAGAGGAGTCTCTTCAGACATCAGCCTTGAGAGCAACCAACCCAGCTAATCCTCCCAGGGAGTCTCAAAGCAATCACCAGGACAGTGTGAATTTCTATAACCATTTAGGGAAACAAAAGTTTTCCAGCAATGATTAAGTTTGGCATAGCATGCATGACAAGAAGCATGGTGATGAAAGGAACCCTAGCCTGGAGCTGTTAAGTAGACAGTGTCTAACTCTGTGTCCCAGACAGAATGGCAAAGAGGAGTGGACTTGTCTCAAGCTGTGGATTGAAGCTTAAAGTTCCAAGTCTCATCTCTAATACTTGGCTCTTTAAGAACTATAATTACATTTTACCACAATTTCTTCGGTTCTTTGGGGGGGGTTCATTTCTCTTTTCTTCTTCTTTACAGTAAGTCTAACAAGTCTGTGATCAAATATTTTTGGTTTTGTGTTCTGTTTTCTCTCTCTCTCTTTCTTTCTCTCTCTCTCTCTCTCTCTCTCTCTCTCTCTCTCTGTGTGTGTGTGTGTGTGTGTGTGTGTGTGTGTGTGCGCGCGCGCGCGCATGTGTATATATGTGTTCACGTGTGTTTGCTGTAATCTTTAATGTGCATCCCTACTTTCAGCGTCTGTCAATTTTGGAAGACTCGTGGTCATTTTTTATTTAACTGCTCTTTTTTGTTTTTCTTTGATTCTCCTGTGTTTGCAACTACAAATGTGTTTAGACATTTACTGTTTAGGCAGGGTTTCATGTTGGTAATTTCTTTATGGAATATCTTTAGGTTTTTGGATATTTTCCTGGGAAATTTTGCATCAACTATTTAAAAACATTCCATTTATCCATTACTGAATCTTTGATTCCTGGCATCTACATTTTGTTCCTTCAAATAGCTCTTACCTCTTTGCCAAAATTTCCCCTGTGAACCTTCATCTTTTCTGCCTTTATCACCAGAATCTTGACGCTATTACAGTTAAGCACTGGATTTGAGAGTTCAAAAATCTACACTAACAACTGATTGCAGTATTTTTATAATTTTCAGACATTTTTCTTGATTTTCTGCAGTTTTAATTTTTGTGTGTCTATTATATGTTATAGTTCATTGGTGAAATAAATATGTTTATGCTGGTACATAGCCATATATTGTCTTCTGAGAGACCATTACTGTAGAGAGTTGTATTTGTCTCTTACATGAGCAGCCACATGATACTTACAAAGTGATTTTCACTCACTCCTGAAAAATACTACAGCTATTTTAAGGATCCAAACAAGCATCCAACAGCTGACTCATATTGCTCAGATGTATGACTAGGGAGCGTCTAGACAGTATTATGCAATGTGTCATTTGTTATTTTATATAACACTTTATAAGAGATAGTAGATTGAAGCCGGGCGGTGGTGGCGCACGCCTTTAATCCCAGCACTCGGGAGGCAGAGGCAGGCGAATCCCTGTGAGTTCGAGGCCAGCCTGGTCTACAAGAGCTAGTTCCAGGACAGGCACCAAAAACTACAGAGAAACCCTGTCTCGAAAAATAAAAAAAATAAAAAAAAAAAAAGAGATAGTAGATTGCCAATAAGTTTATACTATAGTAGAGTTATTTCCATTTTTAATGTTTGTTCACAGTAGGAAATCCACATTGCCTAAGCATATTTTTAAGTCTGTGAGACTTAAATGTGTGCATTCAATTTATTTTCATTATATCCACCCTCCAGTCACTTCCCTAACTTCTTCCAGACTCACCCCAACTATCGACATCCTCTTTCAGCAAATTGTACTCTGGTTTATAAACAGATTTCTGTTTGTGTTATCCATGTACCCATGAGTGTGGGGCCATACATGGAACTGTGAGCCACCTAAAAAGGCCATACACTTATAAAAAATAAAACTGGCTCTCCTCCCAGAGGTCATCAGTTGTCAATATCACTTAAGAATGGGAGCTTGTTTACCTACCCTCTGGCATGCTAGAAGGCTAATTTGTTTGCTCTTTTGGAGGTCTTGCAAAGGCAACCATAACCAATGTGAGTTCATATGGCCTGGAATGTTGTAATGTACAGAAAAATCTCTTTTACCGGGGTCTTACCTGTCTTTTGACTCTTATAAAGTTGCTGTTCTCTCTTTCAAAATAGTCCCTGAGCCTTAGGAAAGTAGGTGATATAGATGTCCCATTTGCAGCTGAGCACTCCACAGACACTCTCTGCTCTTTAACCAGTTGTGAGCTTCTGCACTAATTACCTTTCACTCACACAGAAAGTCGTCTGATGAGGACAGAGAGCTGCACTAATCTGTAGATACAGAGATATAAATTCGGAGAGTAGCTTGGTACTATGTTCTCTTATCAAAACAAGAGTAGCAGATCCACCCTTGAACCCCTAAGCTCACTAGCCATGGGTTCCTGACCAGATTAGCCATACTGGGCATTTATTTCTTCCTAAGAAGCAGACCTTCAATTAGAAAATGGTCGGTTACCCAAAAACATTCCTGCCAGTATTGCAGGAATCTACTTATCTTGCCACAAGGATCATTATTAGATTTGTGTGTTTATCTTGCAGTACCTGTAGAATTCAGGGAATTAGAAAGGAGGTATGGATGTGTAGTGGAAAGAAATAATATATGGGAGGGTATAGCAGAACCCAGATGAGATGAAATAGGAAAGGGTAGCAGAGAGAGAGGTCTAAGTGGAGAGGGGTAGAAGAATAAAATATAGGAGGCAGTAAAAAGGATGTTTGGAAAACTATATAGAAACCTATTATTTTATAAGCCTTTTATATTCATATAAAATAGTTTAATTGGAGTTAATCCTCCATGGGGTATAATGCTTCTCAGAAGTCATAGTTTATGTCAAATAAAAGGTTCAATGATAGTTGTAGAGTTACCTCCCCTTTAGTTTTTGGTCACAGATGTCCCAGAGACCTTCGAAGCAAGACCTATTTTGGGTGCTCTTGGATGGTCAACAGAACTAGATGGTAAGACCCTGTTGCTAAAGACACCATGCACTTTTGACACCTGACATGGAGAAATCAAGTTTGTCCTGACCAGGAAGTTTCCTCCCTGCTAGATTGCTTTGAAGTACTGGAAGGTTTTGCGGTATGTTAGGGAGAAAAGACTAAATCTCACTTAGCGTGAACTCTCTGAAATTCATTTATATCACTGAAACAGGAAGAATGAAATTGTTGAAGAGTAGTTATTCATTCATGATATCAAATGCTAAATAGAAGATAAAATAAAGCATAAAATTGCTTCAGTTTGCCTTCTAACTGATACTATAATATAGTCTAGTAAATATTTCCAAAATGTGTTTAGGGATCAAGCACCAGAGAGTTCCCAAATGTGTCTTTGATTGTCTTGCTATGTAAATAACAACCCATAAAAATAACACCCCGAGTCTTCTAGTTTCCTGAAATGAGGAGAGCTACGCATACTCATACTAATTTCTTCTCCTCAGATTTGGTACTAATTTGCTTCAACTAAAACAATAATAATAATAATAATAATAATAATAATAATAATAATAATAATAATAATAATAATCTAAAGGACTTCTTATAAATATCCCTACAGAAAAGGGGAGTGAGACATTTAGTTCAAATCAGGACCAGAATCTCTAACCTTTGGTTCTACCCTAAAAACTAGGTACCTTTTTCCCATTCTAAAATGCTCTTGATTCTTTAAAGTTCCCGATTGATCTCAGATACATAAACTCAATAAAATAACTATAAACACATGATGGTTTCACATTCTTTCCTTGTTTTGGACACTCTGGTACCAGGTTATGTTTAGTCATTGGAATAAACTCCACAAGATAGTTTTTATCTGTTTGAAATTCTCACAGGTCTGTTACTTACTGAACAATAGAATCAAGCAAAATCTCTAGTTAACAATATGTCAGAAAATAAGCATGAAAATAAGATCAAAATCTGTATTATATGAACAAGAAAGATTTCTTTGCCTTTGGAATATTCTAAAGAACTAAATCACAAGTCCTGTGTATCAATGTTGAAATATCATGAGACAAGACAGCACAAGAGATTTTTAAATTTTATTAAGTCTTAGATTACTTCAATTCTCAGTGCATTCCACCGTTTTAATTCTGTATTGCTAATTATCGATTGTTAGTTATTCTGAAATGAATAAATTTTTTGTACATCTTTTATATAAAATTAGTGATCACCAGGTCTTTAATAGAATTGCTCATTAATTTGAGCTTCCTTCAATGTTTTCTTATTGTGCTGGCTATACTCTAACTTGGGGCCATTGCACAGACTCATAATGACCAGTTTCCAAAAGAGACCCACGATAAAATAGGCTTGTGAAAATCTGTCAACTGCCAATAAAATCTTATTTCAGAAATTCAGTTAAAGATAAAGGCAGTCGGTGGTTTTTAGAGTGGTCACCATGTAAACTAAATTTATATAGCCAACCATTAAGTCGTGCTAATAACATACTAATTATGCCTGGCTGTAAGATAAATTGTGAATGTGTTAATATACACCTCAATGAAACCTGACATAATTTTATAATTTTAGAAAGATCCTTTTAACTACCTAACATCACTTTTTCTGTTTGGTTATCATATAAATGCTTCTAAAGGGATTTAGTCTTTAACAAAGGAAAGCATCATTATTCTGAGAAGGACTGTAAATATGGTAGAAGAAAATAAAATAAATTCAGAAATGCAGGAATCATCTCAAAAGGAGGTCCCACCCACCTTATAGAACTCTGAATGTGGGCACAATGAATTCCAAAATTTCCAGTGAAGAACAACAGCAAGATATATATACATATATATATATATATTTGTGTGTGTGTGTATAGTTTCTAAACCATTAAAATCATTAAACAAATAACTCAAGAAATGCCTCTGAGGATTTTTCCATAATTCTCTAATGCTGCTAATGTGTAAACAGAATGACACACAAAATGCTTACCATATATTACAATTTTTAGACAGCATTATATCCATTATTCTTTTCTTTAATGTCTTAATAAAAATCCAGTGTGCCACCCAAGGATCACAACAGAAGTCATGCAACATGTGGTCCAAAATATACTGAACATGTAAGCGGTTGAGCAATGTTGGAAAAAGCAAGACATAGACACTGGGTATTTCTTCCAGGACTTTTTCTGCAAACATAGCTCTACAAACCATACTTTCTTAAAGGTTCAGCAGCAACTATACATGGTCTCATCTCACAAACTTGGAATTCCCTCATATTATTAGACTATACATATCATAAAATTGGTGCAAATACCACAAAAATTATAGGTTATAGGAAATAAATAAAAATTATGGAAACCAGTATGAATAGTTAATATATAACTATGAGCAGTTGTTAAATATACCTTAGATATACTGATCATTTAAATATTTATTTCAAATAGATCAAGGGTTTAATATCATTCTTGATATAGTTTGGATACTACTATTTTTTCACATTTGGGAACTCAGATTGATGCTGAAATATTGTCTTGGTATGGAGATTTTTTTTTAAGAATGGAGTCTCATATTTTTGAAGGGAAGAGCTATAAACCTTAAGAATAAAGCAACTAGAGATTTAATGCTGCTGTATCCTCCTCCCACAAAAAACAAAGTCAAAAGACATACATCTAAATATATGAATACTCCATTATTCTTAGGTGACATAAAATATGAGATAAATAAAGGTCTAATACGCCAATGGCAAAAAAAAAACATTGAAAATGAGAACTTTTGCGGGAGAATTGTCTGTATTCTGTCAATCATGTTTTGAATAAAAGCTGATTGGCCAGGCAGGAAATATAGGCGGGAAAACCAGACAGGAAGTAGAACAGGAGAATTCTGGGAAGGAGGAAGCTGATTCCTCCCATTCCTGCCCAGATCACCGAAGCAACAGGATGTGATCTGCTCCACTGAAAAAGGTACTGATCCATATGGCAAAAACATAGATCAGAATAATGGGTTAATATAAGCAACAAGAGCTAATAAGTAGCCTGACCTAATGGACCAATCAACTTTATAACTTAGAGATCTCTGTGTGATTTTTCTTTGGAGTTAAACAGTTGGGGGTACCAGGCAGGACAGAAAACTCCAACAAGCAAGTTGGCCCTCATGTTACAAACTTTTCTAGGTGGATGATAGCAGTCTCCCATTGAGTCAATAGATGCAAAGTCTTAAAAAAAACACCCCACAGAGTTACTACTTAAAGCAATTCTGTTTCTTGATATAGCCTCCAAAACAGATTAATTGCAAAAGATATCCTTGAGTAACAAAGTGAATTTACTTCCATATAAAGAAAATTGGTTTAGAAATTGTTTAATCACTGAAAAGTGAAAAAAAATGAATGGGCTTTAGTGTCATCCCCATTAAACCATGCTGACATAGCTAATTAGCAGGACATCCTTTCTGTTAAGTGTCATCCTTGTCAGACAAGTAAACTCACACAACACCTGTTTCTCTCTGAGAGAAATAATTTAAAACATTCTGTATACTTTCTGAAAAATAAATCTTCATGTTCACAGGGCCAATCAAAATGAAGTTACTTCTTTGGGCCTGCATCATATGTGTTGCTTTTGCAAAAAGGGTAAGTAACTAGAATCTCACATTTGCAGCAATGGACGAAAATACCCACTAAGTGTTGGTGAGAAGTCATGCTGACGGTGAAATGAGTACAGTGTTGATACGCATCATCAGAGAAACGTGCTGCGCACATAAATTGGGCTTTTTTAAAATCCTGAAAGGAAATTTTCAAAAGCAAAATAATAGATTCTAAAACATGGAACATATCAACAGCTTGAAGAGGTGAATTCACAAGCAGGAAGCTGGCAGAAGGAAGCATGACAGATAATCTTAGCAGGGTTTCTCCAGCAGTGAAATCTCATTGCCGAGATAGCTACGGGGTATGAATATGAATCAAAGGATACTCAAGGGAGTAGAAGTAAATGGACATGAGTGGAATGTGAATCAGTGGGGCTCTAGATCATTTTTTTTCATTCATAGAATCCCACTATTCAGTCCTGGCTGGTTTGGAACTCCTTACGGAGACCAAGTTGGCCTCAAAATCAGAGACTTGTCTGCCTTTGTCTTCTGGATGCTGCAACTAAGGGTGTGGGCACCCAATACCTGACCTGAAAGCATTTTAATACTAACAAACGAGTGTGTTAAATTTTCTTTTTTGGAAAATAGGAACATCCACTCCAAGTAATTACTTTGAATACTAAGTAAGATAAATACTGAAAGTGATTAGCAATATTTCCATGATGGAGTAGAAACTCAGACAATGTGACACTTCTAATTATTATCAGCTAAATTCCAAATTATTATTATGTCCTTTAAATGTTTCTAAGTTAATTTCTAATTCATAAGATAGTATGTATTGAGTTTCCTACACTAGTTTTTATTCTTCAGGTTACCTTAACCATGGTGAATTCATAAGACATAATGAAATTTCACCAGAAAACATTGTAAGATCTACAAAAAGTGTCAAAAGATCCAATACACACACACACACACACACACACACACACACACACACACACACACACACTCACAAGCACACACAGCAGCACCAGGTTGGTAAAAGAGAAAAGTAAAAACATGTATTGTTGAGAGTCATATGACCTTTCATATGGAAAAGATTTCTCTGCACACACAGTGTTGCAAACCAGATTCTGTTCAGTCAAATTAACACTTCCTGTCCAAAACATCATAATGATTATGATGGCAAAGCTACTTAATTCAGACCACAGACTCATATTAAGAAAAGATTATAAGGTTATGCAAATTCTTCAGTAACAGGAAGGTTTGAATGCAGGTGTTTTCAGTTAAATAACCACATTAAAATATTTTTCTTTGTTTTAGAGGCGCTATCCCTTCATTAATAAGGTAAGAACTTTTTGTTTTTATAAAAATACATGTTTTACATTAAGTATACTTGTATTTAAAGATTCTCTATATCCTTGGAAATACAATTAACTTTGATTGCTATTAAAATATTTTTATTAATTTATTCATGTTAGATGACAAAAATGAATGGAATATAAGCATACCTATGATAAACATATTTACCAGCAAACCTACATTTCTAATGAGAAGAAGCATAAAAAGCTCACCTTTTATGGTGTAGTACAAGTACAAGTTTGCTATGTCCTGATTTAACATCATGCATCTATGATATTTTTTAATTTGTACTTAAGTAATATAACTGATGGACAATGACATGAGGTATTAGAACAGAAAACACGAGATAATAAACAACTATATATTCAATTATGTATTTTGTTTGTGTTTGGGTTGTTTTTTCATTTAAAGCGGAGAGATTTGAGAAAAGGTCTCATATAGCCCAGGGCAGCCTCAAATTCTGTGTCTCTGACCATGATGTTTAATTTCGATCCTCCTGCTGCAACCAAGTGTTTGGATTTTAGATATCTACCATCATTCCTGACTGAATTTCTTCTAGATATTGGAAACTAGAAGTGGTATATGATCATACCCGAGGAACTGCATGATTTCTGTGCAGCAAATAGTCACAAATTATTCCATGTAGGAGACAAAGTGCTTAATGCTATTTTTTTTCTTTGGTTTTTTATAATATTTGTCTCCAATGAAAAGTGTTTTTATCCATCAGTGTGCTATGCACTAATAGAAAAGTGTAGCAAAGAAAAACCCAAAAGAAATGGCCCAGGATGACAGTGCTTTTGAATAAAAACAACTAAACTGAAACTTTTAAAACTTTTTAAAACTGAAAGAGTTTTATTTGTTATTTTTGATTTTTACAACCATCAACTCCTGCAGTGCTTTAACCTATAATAAAAAAACAATTGACTTTTGCCACTGTGCCTGTCCTGGGAAGTTATTTCTTGTGCATATCTTATACCTTAGGGAATGTGGAAGAATGATCTATTGGAAGACTTTAAGATTGGCAATTCTAGAGAACCAATCTAAAATTGGAGAACAATATTAAGTTTTAAATGGAAAGTTTGGCTAGCTGGAGGTGTAGTATTCTAGGCATTTGCAAAAGAAATCTGGCTACCCTTTGTAATAGGCACTAGGATCCCAGTGCCTACAACTAGGGTACCACAAAGCAAATACTGTGTGTACATATATATGTATATACATATACATATATGTATATATAAACACATAAATATAAAGAAATAATATTATTCAAGAAAAAGCATAAATATTTCAAAGTCCCTAAAAAAGTCCATTTACTGAGAAAATATGCTGAGAGCTTCATTTAATAGCTAAGATTTTAAAGTAAGCACAAATGAGCATATAATGTGGCTCTCTGTTGAAAACAAGGAACTCGTTATGAAAACACATAAAAAGTTTTGATTCCGGTATTTGAAAGTTTCCAGATAGACTATGGAAGTGAAGTGGCAGCATAGAAACACTGGAAGTGGGTAGACATAATCCTTGAATATCCATGGTGTTGAGAGGCTAGGGGATTGTATTCATGTGTTCATAGGGGGCTGCGCATGGGTATGGTGGTGTGTGTGTGCACGCATATGTGAAGAACAGAAATCAACATTGGTATCTTACACAGTTGTGTTGTTCTCTACCTTAAATTTCAAGCCAAGGTCACGTCTCTTACTCATTCAGGGATTAGGCAAGGCCGGCTGCCAACAACTGTGAATACCCTCCTGTATTCATGTCCTACCTGCCCACCCCACAAACTGGGATTATAGTTAAATATCTCTGTGGCTGGCTTTTGTAAACAATAATTCCACATATATAATATTCTTTATTTTTTATTAGTCCTTTTAGAGTTTCAAGTTTCATACAATGTGTTTTAGCCATATTTACCCCTCTGCCCAACTCTGTTACATCTGGTTTTTGGGTGAATGCTGGAGATAAAAGATTGTTCCCCATGCTTGTACAAACAGGTGCTTTGCGGACTGAGCTGTCTCCTCGGCCGTGTATATCACATGACTCTTTAAGTTTTATTTATTTATATAGCATTTTTGTTACTTTTGAACTTTTCATACAATATATTTTGGTCATATGTTTTCTCCTCTCCCAAGTCCTCCCGGATTCTCCCCACCTCCCTACCCACCCAACTTCATTTTCTTTCTCTCTCTCTCTCAAAAAAATCCCATAGCTAAAAAGATAAAGCCAGGCAAACAAAACAAGATAAAACTAAGAAGACAAAAAACACTAAGCAATAACAAAAGAAAAGAACACACACATTCACACACACACACACACAAAAGTGTCTGTATAGTATTGATAAACTACTCCTGAACTTGAGGCTCCATCAAGCCAATTCTCCCCTCTAGCAGAAGTTATCAATTGCAAATAGCTTCTTGGTTAGGGGTGGGACTTTGCACCCACTTCCTCTTCTCTGTGTTAGGAATGTGGCTGGTTAGAATTTGTGAAGGTCTTGTGCATGCTGTCACAGTCTCTGTGAGTTCATTTGTGGATCAGTCTTGTGTCTGGAAGACACTGTTTTTTTGGAGTCATTCACCACCTCTGGTTCTTACAACCTTTGCCTCCTAAGTGATCTGAGGATTCTCACTGTCTGCATGTTGTTCAGTTCTGGGTCTTGGTGTTAACTGCCATCTGCTGCAAAAAGCAAATACTCTGGTGGCAATTGAGCGATGCACTGATCTATGGGTACAGTAGTATATCATTAAAAGTAACTGTACTGCTATGGCTATTTAGCAGAATTGTAATATTGGATCCTCCCTCTCCACCCGGGCCATTGTCTCATTGATTCTCAGACTCTTCCCTCACTAATATTGTCAGGTGTCAAACGCATTTACAGAATGTTTACTGAGAGTCAGTTATTATGGTACATACCTATGATCTCAGAACCCAGGAGACCAACCTAGGAAGATTGCTATAACTTTGAGATCAGCATGGATTATATATCAAGTACCAAGCCCAAAGCCACACAGCATAAATAACTGTCTCAAAAGAAAAATTAACAATAACAAGATGATATATAGTTATAGAAAACTAAAAGTAAGTCAACCACCTATGGCTCTTAAAAAAGGAAAATTACAAAAACTTCATTACTCACAACTCCTCCAATTGTAAACAGGGATTTGAAGTGTTATTTATTCTTTCAATGACACCAAGTTTAAAACAAGTCTTTCTTTGTTTCAGAAATCACCCTCACCCAGTGAAGAGGTAAAGTATGTTCACATCTATCTATAATTAAATAGAAAAATATACTGCTTATAATATTTTGCTTTAAGATATCATTTTCCATTAAATAATGTTAAATAATTCAGTTTTATTATGTTTTTCCTTGAAGTAATAGGGATTTATTTAGGAACATGCTCACTTCTTTTCCTCTCATGGCCAACTTATGCATACATTTGTACCCAAATATGTATTATTTATCCAAACTGACATCCTGCCTACCATTGTGCTTACTTACTAGGTTGAGTAGGTTTTACTATGAAACACAATCTTATAAAGTATAGTTGAGAAGGCAGGACTTTCAAAAATGTAAAAACTGAATCTATATACAAAGGAAGTCTATTATTAGGAAAACACCTTGAAATGAATCTAAATAAAACAACTGTGCATGAAATCATTAAGTTCAGTTTCTCAAAATTGTTTGGATTGTAATTAGGCTGCAGCTATAGAAGATATGCATATTCTAAGATCTTGATTTGCACATTATGGATGATCTGCTCATAAAAATATTTATGACATGACATAAAATATGTATGCATGAGCAACAAACATTTTTATTTTTTGTGAATTCTTACATAATTATGTGACCTGAGCTTCCAGACTGTCTTCCAGAATGGGATAGACAAATATAGAACAGCCAGAGGAACTTCTGGATGTCTTATCATGAAAGAAAATATGAAAACTTGATGAAAATTTTGTGATCAATTTTATTAAAATACCCATTTAAAACCAGAGATTGTACTGGGGAAATTATATATGAAAAGCCAAGTTCCATATTTCCTGTCCACTCTTCTGATAACAATTCCTTGAAGGAGTTGAAATTGATAAAAAACAGGACAGATCCAATTCACAGGTCACACACAGTCCTATCCCTGGAAGAGGAATACGGAAGTGAGTGCCTCAGTGGAAAAATTTAGAGACAAGGTGCATGCCAAGCGCAGCAGGCATGGAGCAAGAACATGGTGGACAGAAGGCTGGAAGAACCAGTCCACTCATCTATGTCCGTCCTGCTTTGCTCTTCTTTGTCCACACTCTTCTGCCGGAATACACTAACCTGTACACAAAGTGCTGCTTCTTCAGTGTGTAACACTCATTTGCCTATATGCAAAGTGATCCTCCTACATTCTGGGTTTATTTTCTCGAACTATTTTTATTTCAATTATCATGAATGCATATTAGTTTTTAAGAAAGACTAAGTGGGTGCTCTTTAAAAAACATTACTTACATATGACCATAATCATAACCGAAATAGAGGTATAGACAGTCAACTAGAATGAACTCCTTTTCTTCTATTTAGGATTACTTTGGACATCGCTACCCACTTAATCCACCTCTCAATATCCCATACGGCTTATGGAATGATAATTTACCACCTTTTCTTTTGCCTCCTCTTGAAAATCACCAAGCAAATACCATCACCAAATTCCCTGGAAATTCTGAGCTTGAAAGAGGACTATCTCCATACCCCTGGATTCTAACTTCTAAAGTTCACTATGTCTTCCAAAACCCTAACTATCCCTCGGAGGCCTCACTGAATGGTCCCACAGTATCGGCTCCTCTTGCTCCTCCCCCACCCCCTCCTCCCAGGCCATATCCCTTTGTCATACCTCCAAAGATTTCTGTTTCACCCATTACATCAGAGCCTGGCGCAGCCCTGGCAGTGCCTCCCGTAGGCGAGGCTTTGGTACCTGAGTTCCCTGCAGATAAAACTATTTCAGGCTTGCCTACTGCAGTCAAATTTGGACCACCCCTCCCACTTTCCGAACCCAAAGCTCCCGCAGCTGAGCCTGTGCCAGCCCAGTTTGCCGCTCCTGAACCTGTTGCAGCCCAGTTTGCTCCTGAACCTATTGGGGTAGCTGAGCCTGCTGCAGGCCACCCAATGGCACCCGAACCCGCTACACTACCCTCTGTGGCTGCAGCCCAGCTTATACCAGCAGAACCCACTCCAGGAGGCATGTCTGCTGAAAACAAAGCTGCCTCAGGAGAGCCTGCGGTAGCCCAGGCTATACCGGTTGAGCCTGTTGTAGGCCCAGCTGCTGAAGTCAGGCCTCCTGCCCTTGAGCCTGCTGGAGGCCTACTTCCTCCGGCTGAACTTCTTGTGAGCCAGTCTGCTGTGGGAAAACCTCTTATACCTGAGTCTACTGAACTGAAACCCGAGGGAGCGGAGCCTATGGAGGCCAAATCTGGTAGCCAAGAACCTCTGCCTTTTGTTTTGTACCAGGTGGGTTACCTCCTTTACTGCTGAGTGCGTGGCACTTGTAGAAGGGAAGACACAACTTCTGTACAAGAAACACACCTGTTCAGGGTTAGGAGCTGCTGTTTTAGTAGACAGTTAGTCGACAAATAAATATTGAAAGTGTATAAGGAGTTTGCATATACCCATGAAAAAAATTTTCAGAATTCGAATATTTGAATATATCTACTAGAATGTACCCCAATGCCTCTTGTTTCCTCTCACGTCTTCTCACATCTCACATCTTTGATAAACTTCCTGTTAGATGAAAATGATGAGCTGGTGCTAGAGAGATAGCTCAGTGGTTAAGAATACTTATTCTTGTAGAAGACCCAGGTTCAATTCTCAGCACCCACATCCTTCTGTAACTTTAGTTCCATGGGACCCAGCATCCTTTTCGGGCCTCCACATGCCCCAGGCACATATAAAAGTTTTAAACTCATTAGCTGGACAAATTTACCTTATTTATCATATTATAGGAAGAATTAATATTTTCCCATGTACTATGCACAGATAATACACACACACACACACACACACACACACACACACACACAAAAGCATGCATGCGTGCACAAACACTCAACATTAACCTATAATGTGCAACCCCTAGACTCTGTGCAGAGAATATGTGAAAATAATTACTGGTCCCCCTTTTCTGCTCCTGTGAGGAATGACTATTCTTCACAACATGACATTCAAATCATGAGAAACTTCTTCTTCCTCATAATTATTTCAGTTCTCGGATAGGGTCTTATTATTAATCGAGGCTAGCCCAGAACTCACAGAGGCACACCTCCTGAGTGTTAAAATAAAGCTGTGCACCACCACACCCAGCTCCTTTCCCGTAATGTGAAGCATATATTTTGTTTCAGGCAAGAGAGGGAATCCACTTTATGTTACTCATCATGTCTGGAAGCAGATTTCTCTTGACCTTTTATAAGACATCTCAGAATTGCTCAATTATTTGGGAAAGAAAGCCCTCGTGCTAGCAAACGGAGTATATTTTAATTATAAATAAAAATATCCTTTTCCTTTTAGGGAGAGAAGTGAGGTTTCCTGGAAAAGAGACTACTATTCATTTGTGTCTGTAAGTAATTCGTACCAATGAGATATGGGTGTTGTAGGTGAACTATCTTTAGATATGTGCGTGTGTGTGTATACACGTAAATATATATGCATATATGCAAATGTATATTACATTATAATACATATATTACAACATAGAAGTGAGAAAGTGAGGTGCAATCACTGGTTACCTGTGTCCCAGAAGTTAAGACATGATGAATTTATGTACTGTGTAAATTTTTCAGGCTGTTTTGAGACTAGATGGTTCTTCAAAATTATCCAAAGTGGTTATGACCTAACTATTCTGTATAATAGTCATCAGTTCAGGACAAGCTTCAATAAATGGCATGGAGACTAAACTCTAGAGAAGTGTTGTCCGTTAAGGACCAGTGGACAATTCTGTCTGTTTTCTACTAGCTTGCATCCTTACCCAGTTTCAAGTTCTCTATCTCACCTCAATCACTGTCCTAAGAATGAAGGTCCTGGCAAAAATGCTCACTTGAGCATCTCCCCTTTTCGTATTCACAGTGAGAAAAATAAATAAAATGATTAAACTATTTCCAAGCTCTTGTTCTTCTGTACTACTGCAAAGCTACGACAAGGTTATGATTAAAAATGTTTACTGTACAAATAAATGATGAGGCACTATTTTGACTGTCAAGCAGATCAAAATTCTAAAAACTGAGGTGCCATCAACGCCTGAAGTTACACTGAAAAATCAATTGTGATGGTAACTAGGGCTATAAGTGATACACCCTAACAATATTCATTTCCAATAACATTAAACATTGTCAGTTTTTACTTCAACCTTGAATACTGCTAAATTATTTGGCACTGTTTATTTTACTAGAATTTAAGATGAGAGACTTATTAGTGAATAATATTCAATATTAGATGCACTTAACAATTTCACATCTTCACAGGCATGTGTTTCCAGTTTATTACATGTAAGATACTCAATAAGAAACAAGCAAAGAGGGAAATGATGCCTTTCTGAAAAGTCCATTAAAATGGAGAAAGAATTTTCCTTTAAATTATTCAATACCAAAAGACAATATTGATCTAAATGAACAGTCACTCAAGGCCATGATTTTTGATACCTATATATGTGTTCAAATAAACTGTTACATTTCATTTTAGTTCAACTATTTATTAATTCCTATAGAAATATATAATTGTAAGAATGTAGCATCTGTAAAAAAGCAGAAATCTTTACTTTTAAGCATGTATTATGACATGAATTTTTAGATGACAAATCTATAAAGTTTATCATAGCAAACTCATAAAAAAATAATCTTGCTTTATCTGTAAGAAATTTGAGAATTTGTTATCCAAAACTGATGTTATTTTATTTTTTACAGATGATGATGATGAACAAATCGAAGAAACTGCATGTTCTTTCTTTTCTCGCCAAGTCATTTACTATGTGTTATTAAAGCTAGCAGTCTCTTCATACTGATTGGCTTATGCTGGATTTCCTTAGACCATACAACAAAATTAAGTTGATGGAATGATTTACTTTCACATCAAATTATAAAATATATACTTCATAGGTATAAGAAATTTAAACAGTTTAAATGTGTACGAATAGTAAGTACATTTTTTTCAAACAGTCTCTAGAATACAAAACAAATATGTTACGTTATTGTCTTTTGTGTCTAAATACTTGCCTCTAGAAATCATTTTGACTATTTCTCCACCCACCGTCATTTCCTTTGCTTAAAAATGTCAGCACCTTTTCTGAATAATGCATTTAATACCTACTTACATTGCACTTCTGAGTGTCAACAGCACAATAACTCTATAATAACTTCTTCCTAACACAACAAATTGCTTCCCTACTTCACTAGCAACTCCAATGAAGTCTTCAAGGGGCGGGGGGGCCCCCGCCCATTAGAGAGAATATAACTCCACTCACAAGATCTTTTCCCTAAGTCACTTTATTAAACTAAAATCATATATTTGATCTTCAATGTGCAATGTGTTAAGCAGCATTTTGCTCATTGTTTGGGGTGAATAAGAAGACAACTTCTCAGTTCTCTTAAGGTTCAAGCCTTTGATGTTCAGACTCCTCGCACCCACGTCTAAACCGGGGATCTCCTGAGTTAGCTTGTGGTCCCATCTTATTCCAGGCAGCTAGAATAACTCACATTATCTAAAGTACATTCATGGCTGAGAAAGAGTATATCAGTTGAAAAGATGGAGCTAGCCAATGGCCACACCACATCATACCAGAACTGGGAAGGCAGATGCAGGAAGAATCTGCCTCTGAGGCCAACCTGGGCTACAAAAGAACCCATGACTACCAAGAAAAGCATGGTGGGGATGGGGAGGGAGGTTGAGACAAAAATCCTATCAAATTTCTAGAAAAATATATTATGACTTGAAGTAAAATAAGGAACATTCTATGAAGATAGATTTTGCTCAGAAATCTTAACTTTAAAAACATTTTATGCGTGGGTGTTTGCCTGCATGCTTGTCTGTACTCCATGCGCTTGCAATACCTGCTGAGGCCAGAGGAGGACGACAGAACACCTGGGACTTGATTTACTGAATGTTGCATGTCACCATGCATGAATCCAACCCAGTCCCCCAGGAGGGCAACCAGCGCTCTTAAGCACTGAGCTATCTCTACAGCCCTATATCTGTAGTCTACAATGCTTTTTAGCATTAAAAAGTGGTCCATGGTCAAATGGTGAAAAATTTGAAGTTTATTGCAAGAATTTAAGGAACATTTTGGAAAACTCTAAAGGCTCAGTGGCCTGGAGTTTAATTAACGGTTTCTCCAACTGCGGCACAAATAGCGGCCTTCAGAGGACTTCTCTGTTCTGGGCAACCGAGAAGGACTTTTAGAGCCGAGAATGACGGAATGAAAGTACAGTTTAGTTACGATTGATATAGAGACAGTATTATGGGCTGTAATTATAGGCTAGAAGAAGATACTGAAACTGGGAACCCCAGTCTTGCTTAGTGATACACAAGTAAATACGGTAGCTCACAGGCTTATGGACCAGAGAAAGGGTTTCTTCCTTTAACAGGCCATCCCAGAGAAAATACAAGGTTATGTGGGCCTGGAACAATTATTTCCGGAACTAGCCCCTGATTCAGCCAACTATTCTTTCTTGTTTTGTTTTTGCTTTTTTTTTTTTTTTTTTTTTTTTTTGTTTTGTTTAGTTGGTTGATTTTCCGAGAAAGGCTTTCTCTGAGAAACAATTCTCGCTATCCTGGAATTCACTCTGTAAACCAGGATGGCCTCGAACCCTCACACTCACAGAGATAAGCCTGCCTCTGCCTCCCGAATACTGGGATTAAAGACTTGTGCCATGACCACCGGTCAGCCTTCTCTTCTTTATTCATGAATTTTTACTTCTTTATTCACGCGGTCTTTACGTTCCCCCTCCCCATTCCCCTGCTTAAGTTCTGGTAGGTAATAATACTTCAGAACTGCCTTGTTCTTCCGGATCCTGCCAGCCCAATGGAATGGAGCCCAAAGACAACAGAAATGCCAGAAGAAAAAAAAGGCGGCAGGGGTGGGGGAGGCTAATAGTTGGTTCAGTCCTCGGTGGTAGATTCAATCCTCCATGGTTGTTCTCGGCTCTTTGATGCCTAGGGAAAGCTCTGGCAACCCCAGGACCAAAGACGCCCAAAACAAGAGTCTTAAGAACTGAAAGTCTCTGTAATACTTAAAGTTATCCACAATGAGGCGCTCCTCATTTGTATGGTTCTTGAGTGTAGTCAGAATGCTCAGGGCAGACAGGTCTTGAGCTTTAAGATGAGGCTGAGTGCTGTCATAGCAACGTCCCAGACATCTAAATCTTAGGCAGCAACCGCTGAAGCAGGAAATAAGTCTTCCCCTGCTCACACCGGGTGTGTGACTTAAAACTACAGGAGGCCTGGCCCGGAAGGAGAGACTGCCCTTCTCCTCCAGCAGGAGGGTAGGCAGAGGGGTGACTTTCAAGAATGCCCTTCCAGAAACATACCTACTACCCTCAGTCCAACAGCATGGAGAGACAAGATGCCCTTGAGGGAGGCCTATCATCCTGGGTCTTCGTCACCACTAAGTCGGCATCTGAACCTCAGCCCTTCTTCCAATTCCGGCCTCGTCTGGAGAATGTGGACTGGAGGCGGCTGGGTGCCATTGATGTGGACAAAGTTGTGGGAGCCACGGATATCGCGACACTTCAGGAGAACATCGTGAACATCACTTTCTGCCGGCTGGAGGACGAGAAGTGCCCGCGTTGTCAGCTAGGGGTGGACCCGTTGCTGTTGAAGCTCATCCACCTGGCACAGTTCACCATTGAGTACCTGATGCATTCTCAGGAGTACCTCACCTCACAGCTGAACGTGGTGGAGGAACGGTTAAGCCGGAGCCTGAGTGGTTGTGAGCAGAACCAACAGCTACTCACCAAGCAGGCTGACGAGATCAGACGGCTCAAGCAAGAGTGCAGGGGCTGGAAGAAGATGCTGTCTTCCCAGCAGCTGATGCTGGGCCAGGTCGAAGCCTGTCATTACCAGTGCCGTTTTTGTGACAAAGTTTTTATGAACCAAGCTTTTCTACAGAGCCACATTCATCGCCGCCACCTTGCATCTGCTTGTCATGGGGGCAGTACAAAGGCACAGAATGACAAGCTCCAGAGGGAGATCCACAGGTTGAAGCAGCAGCTGCAGTTCACGAAGGCTCAGCTAGAGGCTGCCCAGCAAGGCCGCACAGTCAGCATATCTAAGGACTGTGAAGTGCAGAAAACAAAAGAGGACTTCCGGAAGTTAGTTGGTAGATGGGAGGAGGAAGAAAGGAAGAAACTGACTAATGAGATGGAAAAGGCCAAGGAGATGTTTAGGAAGAAAATTAAAGACCTGACTTCTAAGAATTCAGCTTTAGAATATCAACTGTTGGAAATCCAGAAGTCCGATATGCAGGGCAAGCTCAGTATGGGCACCTGGAGAGACTCCTAGGTTTAAAGACTGATTTTCATATCCTGAGCCTTTCCAAAATATACTTCACCTCCTTGAGTGCAAGTAAGCCAGTGGCCAGACGGACTTCAAGTTCTCAAGGCAGAATGGAGCACAGAGCAGAAGCCGATCTCTCTCAGGCAGCCGCAGCTGAAGTGATGAGCGCAACAGCCCTGTCAGGTCCTGCTGACACTGTTTTGCAGCATTCCGCCGCCACAT